GGCACCATCTGATTTCTTCATCACTTTTGCTAATGCACCCCCTTTGTCCTCAGCGATCGAGTAGAGGCAGGCTGGTGTGCTTCTTCTGTGTGGGTTTTGTTGTCTCTCAGCTAGATGGCTGCTTGTTTATCTTCAGGTCTTTAAACTTCAGGTGCTATATCTTTTGGTAGCTGGGCACCATCAGCTTTCTTCACCACACTTGCTTGTGCACCCATTGTCTTCAGTGACTTCAGGTGTTATATCTTTTGGTAGCCAAGCATCATCCACTTTCTGCACCACATTTTCTTGTGCACCCATTGTCTTCAGTGATCATGCCAGGCAGGTGAGCATCTCAAACTGCCGAATTGTTAGAACAAAGTGTTCTTGTGTTGAGGGAGTACTTGTTCAGCACATTTTTTAAATGCCATTTTTGTGGTAAAATTAGGTGCTTTGGCTGATATTTGGGTCGACTTACATGTGAATATATAAGGTCATTAGATATGTATAAAGAATGGTGTTAATCATTTCATAATCAGTGACCATAATTGGAGGATGAGAAGCTTTCCTGCGAGGGTCTGACTGCTCCTTCCCACACAATTTAGAGTTTATAGATCCTGGAGCCAAAGACGGGGCTTTCTACTCCTGTAAAGAGTTAAGAGTCTCGGAAAAACACAAGGGGAGTTGTACCTGCCCTATGCAGTCACTATGAGTCAGCATCGACTGATGGCCATGAGTTTTTTGGAAGAGCCAAATTGGACGATTAAAGGGCCTGGGGATAGATTGGGTCTCTGTGTCTTGGTGTCTTCCAGGGACCCTGTGTGAGTCTGGGTTGTCTAGAGAAACAAGTCCAGAGACACTCCTATGTGCATACAGTAGAACCCCGGACCTCAATACTGATCCGTTCTAGAAGGAGCCTCGAGATGCAATGCGGTGGAATTATGAATCAATTTTCCCCATAAGAGATAACTGAAAACGGATTAATCCATTCTCAACCACCAAGTTTTCCTCCAACCTTGTCTTTTTATACAAAACATTGCACAGAAATTTCAAAGTAAATAAGTTCAGAGTTAAATGATATAATTTGAATAAGAAACACAACATTTAAAAAGTTTTAAAAAACTACAGCATGGCCCATACCTTGAGATTGATGAGGATCTGGATTTGAGGACACAGATGCAGAGAGGAGGTATGGAGAGAATCATTGCTTAGAAGGGGAATCCCCTTCCATAAAATCAACTGGTTCCTGCTTTTCAGGAGTTTTTCCCCTTCTTTGCCTTTTTTCATTAGGACCTGGCTGACTTTCTCGGGAAAAAAAAAAATGTCTAATGTGGTCTGCTGTTGGTTTTTCCTGAACTGTTTTCTGAAAGGGTTTACTAAATTATTGTCAACATCGTTAACACAGTTAACCAGTTCCTTATCGCGATGGTTCTTTTCAAAACATTCTTTCTTAGAATCCATGGTTTTTTAAATCTAAAAACAGTACAAAAAGCCACCCAAACTAGGAAAATTATAGCAAGATGGTTGGAACACCGCTGCAAAAGATTTAAGCAACGTGTACTAACAACTCCAACTAACGCCAAGGGACCGAGACACTGCTTTTGTTTACAAGACTCACGTGTTGGGTCAGAGTCCCATGTTCTGTTCGGGCTCCGATGCAAAATTTTCCTGACATCCGATTATGTCCAGTACTGATGCGCTCGAGTACTGAGGTTCTGCTGTACAAGAAAGAGCTTTATATCAAAGAGCAATTGTACATTACGAAAATGTCCCAACCTAGTTAGCTCACGTCCATAAGTTCGATATTAGCCCATCTGTCCAATACCAGTCTATAAATTCCTCTTCAGACTCACCCAACTCATGCAATGACGCCGAATGCAGGAAGATCACAGGCCAGTGGGTGGAAAGCTTTGTGGAGGCATCTCAGCGCTGACAGGGGTCTCCATGTGGCTCCTCTGGCTCTAGTGTAGCTCCATGTGTCTTATCAGCAGAAAGATGAAGCAGACATTGTCTGTATCTGGCCTTCAGTGAGCTTTTATCTCTGCGGTGCCTCCAAATGAGGTCATCGAGCTGCGGCCTGATTGACAGGCTATAGACTCCACCCCTTTGCAAGTTGACACCAGCTCATGTAACTGCCACAGACCCCACTACCTACTTACTACCCTGCTACCATCAGGAGAGTGGTGTTTCCCAAAGTGGGCGATAGTGCCCCCCTGGAGGGCACTGGAGGGATCCGGAGGGCTCTGCAAAAGCAGCTACCCACCTTTTATCCTGGAGCATGGACTACCATACAAAAGTTCTTCCTTGCCAGGGGGCCGCTGAGTCAAATCAGTTTGGGGACCTTGGCTGTGAGTCTGAAGCAGAGGGCAATCCAAGAACCGAGAGGCTGGCTTCAGCCTGACTTCTCCGCTGTTGGATCTTGGCCAAGGTCTCCGTCAGGTGGGGGCATGAGTTGTCCTCCTCTGAATGGCTCCTAACCCCGAGTCCCGGCCCGCCCCTCCCACTTGCAGGAGTCAGGGCTGTCCACGTGGATCGGCCAGCAGCTGCGCCCCCTGGAGAACGTGCCCCCCATGTTGGCTGTGCTGGTCATCACGGTCGTCATCGCCTTCTTCACCGAGTTTGCCAGCAACACGGCCGCCACCATCATCTTCCTGCCCGTCCTGGTGGAGCTGGTAAGTGTCCTGGGGGTGTGCTTCCAAACCCACTGCCGATTCAAGGCAGAGAACAGCTACTTCCCAGGGTTTCCCAGTGGGTTTGAACTGCCAACCTTTTGCTCATCAGTCCAATGCCTAGCCCAATGCGCCACCTGGGCTTCCATGGCAAATCCCCATCACCACCATGCCGCCCCCACCCCCAAGCACTTCCCAGCCTGGTGCTGGGTAACTTGCAGGGTGAGGGGAGGCCAGCCTGTGCCCGTGTGCGGGTGGCATCGCTGCCACTAGATGGCAGTAACACCGCTCACCCAGTGGCACCGTGATTGTCTCTGAAGGTACCAGATGTCCCCTGGGGGACAAAATCACCCCTGGTTGAGAAACACTGCTCTAAACTCTAGCAAAGAGACCACTCCAGCTTTACCCCCAAATGCTCCCAGAGCACAGAGAGCTAGAGAAAGCCACTCTGTCCCCACTGTCCCCAAGCTCGTATTGCCATGATGTGGAATCCAATTCCTGGTGGCCTTGAGAGACGAGGCACAACTAAAGCTTTCTAGGAATAGGCCACCTCATCCTTCTCCTGTGGAGCGGTAGGTGGTTTCGAACTGCCAGCCTTGTGGTCAGCAGCTCAACGCACATCCCACTATGCCTCCAGGGCTCCTCTAACCCCTCCCCCCCCCAAGATAAATTTGGCAAAACCTTCAGGCCTAAACAAGGTAAGGAGGGCTGCCAGGAGGGAGTTGGAGTTGACCCGATGGCAGTGGGCTGTGGAGAAATTCCTAATGCTGAGATGCATGAATGACAGCCTGGGCTCTCTCAAAGGTGTGTTAGCAATGCCCAATTCAGTCTCCATGGGCGGGGTGGGGTGGGGGGTGTCCTGCTTTACATTCCCTCCAGCAACCTGGGGGTGGGGACAGGGACTGTTTCCTCACCCCCTTGTGAAACAGGATAAGTCTCATCAAACCAATTCCCAGGATCTGAGGGAGCCGGCAATTGGGCATGAGGACTGCTATGGGATGGGCGTGGGGGGCAGGCGAGGAGGCAGAGAACCCGGCCTGAGCGCAGGGGGCAGCTTTTGAGGTGAAACCCCCCACAAATCACTGCCACCAAGTCAATTCCAACTCAGAGTGACCCTACAGAACAAGCAGAACGCCCCCTGTGGGTTTCTGAGACGTTAACTCATGGGAGCCTCGCCTTTCTCCCTCCGATCAACCGGTGGGTTCCAACCAGTAATCTTTGGGTTAGCAGCAGAGGCCAAAGTTTTCTAGAGGGGGCAGACACTGTCCTGCCGTTGGGAAATGCTGGAGAAATGACCGACATGGACAGAGTCTGAATGTCCCCATGGCCGTGAGGGTGGCTGATGAGCCTGACTTGACTCGCCGGCCCCCAGGATAACCACGTGCCAATGACGACGTGTTGATGGCAACAACGTGGCCCACCAACTGAGCCCAGCCACAGACGTGCCTGATCCCCACTGTCTTAGAAACGTGGCCGTCTCAGGCAGACATTCAGGCTCAGCAGGGGGGTTGCTATGTTGGCGCCCTCACTCTTGTCCAGTGGGCACCCTGGTGGCCACATGGGGATGCCCACTCTTGTTGCTGTGTGAGGACCATGGGGCGGGGCAGGCCGCTTCCTTAAAGATTTACACATCGGGGCTCAATCAAGGGCAATGTAGTAGTGAGGAATTACTAAACCCGAATGAAGGCCAAACATGATGGTGGGACAAGAGGGAAGTAAAAAAGAAATAGAGGAAAGAACCAGGAGGCAAAGGATATTTATAGAGGCCTAAATACGGGCATGTACATATGCAAATACATATATAATGAGAGGGACTAGAACTATGTACTCATATCTATATGTTAAGAATTAAGGTTGCAGATGGACATTGGGCCTCGTACTCCGTTAACACAAGAACACTGTTCTAACAGTCCGGCATTCTGTGATGCTCACCTTGCCGACATGATCTCTGAAGACAAAAGGGGTGCATAAGCAAATGTAGTGAAGAAAGCTGATGGTGCCCGGCTATCAAAAGATATAGCATCTGGGGTCTTA